AAGGCTTTTTGTGTAAAAGATCAGAGAAGATTAAGAATATAACGAAATGACTTGAAATCATAACCTGAAGTCGAAAGATTTATTGCGACATCGTTGCTGTCATTTTGCTTTACAATTACATATGTAATGTTTTCCGTATAGAAGCATTAAGTTAAATGCGAATTGTTTCCATACAATTAAAGAGACTGTGAAAATTAGTAATTGGTGAAAGTTTTAGCTCTTTGGGTCTAATATTGAAGGAAATGTGGGCTTTCGGAAATTACAAAATTTCTCGGAAGAGAAAGCGTTAATAAGCTCATACATTCATAGGTCAATTAATCGTGTCTTTCCCTTTCAATACACTCTTTTTTTTACAGGAATATATTTGACAAGAATATCGAGGCTGAAATTTACGAGATTGTAAAAATATTTTTAAGAATAAACCCGAGGCTCAGATTTTGAGAAGAATATGGCTTTGCGTGTTGAAAATTTTAAATAGAATACAATTATATGTTTTTTACCAAACAGTATATATAAAATTCACTTTCTCTAAACGGCAAAACTACCAAAAAAACATATCTGCAAGAAGCTATGTGCGTCATTTTAGGCTGTAACGCTTGCAGCCTGGCTCCAAAATTACTTTAACACCATCCAGACACCAAATACATTCGAAACCAGAAATACGCTGTAATCTAAGAATATTCACACAAATATTTTCAGCCTAAAATCGGCCGAAAAATAAGAATATTCAGCCTCGGCTGTAAATAAATATTTTTATGAAAAAAGAGTGTATTCAGACTTGGTACTTTTGAGGCACTTAAGCTGATGAAGCAAATATTGTTAACCAAAATTGCAGTATAAAAAAGTGCAAAGTTACAATTTGCGTCCTCCTCGCTTCCCTAATGGAAACCAAATGCTCAGTAACTGTAGAATGATTGCCAGAATTTTGTTTGTCAAGAACTCATCACGAAGCAAGAACATGTGATGATGGCAACGAGTGAAATGGATTAAAATATGGACAAAGTTAAAACATTACGTAACAGTGGCAGTACACTATTTAGAACGAAATAATTATTCCGGAAATTTTAGTGAGGAATTTCCGTGCAGGAGGAACAAAGAAACGTTGAGTCTAGTTAAGGCTAATGCTGTGAAAACCAAAAGGATTGGAACTGCTGTAAACGATACAAAACTTTACATGGAATATGAATTTTGATTAGTAACGGCCAAACTGATAAATGGCACGACCCTTACAAAAGTAGTTTTTCTTAGTCCCGGAAATTTTCCAGTGGGCTGTACACAGAGAAAAAGTCATATCCATTTACGCATCGAAACCGAAATTTACTGAAAATGCTGTAAATGGTGGTTTCCTTGATTCAGTTTCCTAAATTTAATTTAACCGCTCCGCCTGTAAATGTAGAGAGATGGACTTGGGTGTGAATAAACGGGTTATAAACCCAACTTTTTGGCCCAAATGGTTTATCTGCAGATACGTTTTGGTGTACATCGGCGAGTTCGCGAAAGTTAATTAAGAAAAAAAACGTTTATATTATACTACTCTGCGCTCAAGTGGGCTTCTTGTATATCCCCTCCGAAGCTGTAATAAAGTGCGCGAAGGCCGGCTTTCGTATATGTTAATTCTGGTGATCGTTTTGGCGCCGAAGGCAAAGAATGTGACTCAAAACAGCTTTGTACTCTTGTCTGAACTGCTTATTTGTTCCCCCATATATGAAGGGCTTTATGGTGCTACTAAGGTAAATCAAGAACCCGTATGTAAGGTAAGCCTGTCGCGGAAAGGTGGATTTCCCTTGTGCGACATCGATGTAGTCCATGACAGAGATAGGAAGGCAACAACATGTAAAACCCACCATTATTGCTGCTAAAGTCTTGGTCACTTTCGCTCCTTTCACGTTCGCTCTGAGTTGCTGCAGTTTGTTTTGGAGCGAGAAAACTCGGTTTGATCGCGATACTGAGCAGAACACTTTGGCGTAGCAGATTTAAATTACCGTTAAGGGTGCTGCAATATAAACGAGCCCAAAAAACACAGCATAAGGAATGTTTCTTTAAAATGTGTACAAATACATCGCTTTACCCGGATGGAATTCAATGAAGAACGGAGGCACAGATCGAACGAGAGCTGCGCCCAAACAACAGCAATGTACAGCAAAGCTCTTTGTTTTTTGAACAACACCGCGTACTTTTCTGGTTTGACAACGCAAAAATATCGACTAACTGCAATTAATCCCATGGTCTGAAGAGCAGCAAGTCCAAATGTCAATGCTCCAAAACCGTCAAAACGACAAAAACTCTCACCAAATATCCAGCGGCCGTGAAACAGAGTTACAACTGAAAAAGGCATACAGAAGATGGACATCAGAATATCGCTTACACCAAGCGCTATCACAAACATGTTGGGTAGCGTACGAAGTCTCTGGTTTCTGTACACGGCATAACAAGTTAGAAGATTACCAAAGAAGGCCACAGCATTGATAACAGCTAACAAAACTGTTTCTGTCCAAACAAAGACCTTAGTCCTCAAAGTAAGTGCTTCAGAAAGCGATTCCATCATGTCTTATGGCACCTACTCAAGGGAAGGTGTAGCTTAGTAGCAGTATTATATTTTTTACCGAACGTATCCGCGCTGCTGTATTTAAGAGGTATTACTATAAAATAGATTCTCAATCTCTATTGAGCTCCAGATATTTCTGGGTATTTTTGACCTGTCAAGCGCGGTCACCGGTAGCAACGAGAATTATTTTATCACCTGCCGAGAGGGTTTACACAGCGACAATTTTCCTGTCGACATGGAATAAAGATATTATTGAGCGTGTTGAATATAACGGTAATAACAACAGTTTTACATGTAAATATTTACAATGAGGAAATATAATATGCCAATACCACGAGACCTTGCTTGAAAAGCCATACAAAAGCCATACAATTTTATCTTCAATTCAGTTACGCGCTCTAAACTTAACCGTTTTACATTTTTCGTGTGTATGTGTGTGGTATTAATTAACAGGGCTCATGCGAACAATGAGGTCAAGATAGGATGTCGGATAAATATATTTACGTTTTATGATTTTGAAACTCAATTACACCAGAATCGAAATTAAGGAACGAGCGCGTGTGCAGCGAGTTTGGATATTAAAGTGATGATTTCGACCTCGGTTCTTTCGACGTTTTGCACTTCAATATTGCAAAGACGGCAATTGTAAAGTAAAAATAATATCCAACGTTTTAGTCCAGATCAGTTCATTATTTCATGTGTGATATATTAATTCCAAAGTGATGCCCTAGAAATAATTTTTTACTAGCTTGAAATTGAAATTAACAGGAGCCCAGCATTTACATCCTGATATCTACAATTCAAAGTACGTATCTAAATATGTTCTATTAAGTTAGTTTGTAATTTACAGCTACATAGTAATAATCAATTTTACTTACACAAAGGTAGTTTAATTACAAGACTTAATTACAAAAGAAGGAGAAAGAAAGAAAAAGGAGACTCAACGGGTTAGTAAAAGAATACAAACTCCAAGACTAAGTGAACAAAAGTAAAGTAAAAAGAAACTACGGGAAAAGGGTTGAAAAACAAAAGGAAGAAAGTTTACAAGAGATTTGCATGTTTTATTAAATGTTGTATTTGTAGTATTTTTTGTAATTTTTATTTCTCCACTTGACGATATGAAAACATGGACTTTTTTTGTTTGCAAGAGCAACTTCTAGCTGCATATTAAACTGTTTCTTAGAGCTGCCAGAAAGGTGTTAAGGACGAACGTGCCCAAAATGTTCCCACGGACAGATTTTTTTAAAACTTACCATGAAGTACTGTAAAGATTAACTTTTGCCAAAAGGCGAAAAAATTGGGGGAGTGGGGGGAGTAATTGTATTCGTTTTCGAGATATGGCGCGTTGAAGGCCATCTGTTTTTTTCGTTCTTTTAAGACGATATTAACTTACAACTATATCGGCCGTACAAAACGATACATTAGTGAAATTTAGATCACGTAAACGTACTCAATTCAAGGCAACTAAGTACATTAAGTAAACTTTTACGGCTGATGTCTTATCTTGAGGTAAAAGAGGCCTCGAAATATAATTTTACAGTACAATAACTGTCTAACTTCTCGCGCGCTGATTGGCTCATTTTTATCATCAATAACAGTACAGACGGATAAAATTTTAATTTATGCAAGCTTTCAAATTCAACTTTCAGCTGTCAAACTGTCAATTTTTAACCAATTAGATTTTATTGACTTTTTTTAAGTAGCCAATCAAAAAGCGAGAAAGTTATTGACAATGCTCGCGTCATTTTGAATAAAATCACTTATCTTTGTTTATGGCAAATTTACGGCGTCTTTTTCCCCTCATTTATTCCCGGCACTTGACCATTTTGGGATCTTGTTTACTGCAGAACCACTCACCTTTGGCTCGTGGTTTCACAGTCACTTTGACAATGTTATGACGCAATTTATCATCAATAAGAGGACAGACGCATAAAAACTGACGTCAATTTGTTAAATGCATATTAGCCTTGCCCGCCCACATTCAAAGAATACTTCGGTCACACGAGAGCAGAAAAGGCGAAGTATTTGAAACTTCTCACGCACAGACTTTTTCTGTTATTAGTTAAAATGGAGAAAACCAGTAAAGGAAGTGATCTATGAAAGGAAAATACTGGAAGTCACGGACCATTCAAGAGAGTAAATTGCGGGCGAGGTGAGCCAAGCCCCATGCTTGCTTTAATCGTATCTATAACAAATTTCTCGACCGTGATTGGTTCTCCGCGCGCCCGTTTGTCAGGTAATTGGTGCGCGATCAAGTGGGCGTCCAATTACAGATATCCAATTTCGATCTCTTGTAGCTGAATCCTGTAATTGGATACCTACACCATTCGCACGTCAATAACGCGAGCTTAAATGGCGTCCTTCTTAATGTCTTTTCTATTCTGGTCAAGTGACGGGTCAAATGTGGCCGTGACTTCAAATAAATTCATGGCCCGTTGGTAGTTAAGAAGGACCCTCCCCCCTCAAAAGAGACGACAATTGTATGTCATTCTTTATTTTGAACGATAGGTCATAAATTCTATCAATGTTTTTTTAGGTAAAGCCGTATATTAAGAGCCAATTCCTCTAAATATCGATAATGAGAAGACGTACAGTCGTGAAATTTCGGATTTCTTCATACTACGATTATCAGTTGAGTAAGGCACGAGGGAAGTTGATTACGAAGTTTTGGCCTTAAAATTATGGTGTTGTCACGGGCAACTTACCTCGTTTCCATTGGTAACAATATCAACGGCCGTTGGTCGCCTCTCGCGTCGCCTACAATTTCGCGCGCTTTGCTGCCAATGACGTCAAAGGCCGACAAGTTACCAATGGACACGGAGCCAGTTGCTCGTGACAACGACAAGATTTTTTTTTTGAAATCGAGGAAAGTTCGAAAATCCCATTTTAGCTGCCAGCCGCCGCCGAAAATGGCCGAAAATTGTGCATTTTCTTTTCGCTCGGGCATGCCTTACTGTCTTGCTGTTTCCAAAGCATTAATTTGATTAACAAAAGCTCCAAGTGTTATAATATTTTAAGCCGATACAAGTACCTTAATCGAAGCTCGTGAGCGAAAGGCCTAATTTTAGCTAATTTCAATACCATCAAAAGCCCACTGGTACATTGAATTTCAAGTCAAGGCTATTTCTCCATGAAAAAATTCTCCGTTTCTTCCAAGTATAGCAACGACACCCCAAAGTCTGTCCACAACAAAGAGTTGTTGTTGTACTTGATAAAAGTACATATGACTCTGGTTTACTTTCAAACCAGTATCAGACATTTTACATATAAGGGCATCTGTCAGGGTCTCACTATCCTTAACAGTGACATTTTTAGCTTCAATGACTCCATGAGGACTGCTCTTACTTGGGTCTGTTATCAGACCATCTGGGGAGGCCCCCAAAATTCCCTTTTCCTTTTCAACAAAAAATCCTCATTTTGCTACTTGCACCCTTGTATGTCCCTGTTCATGCATCATTTCAGTGTACTTGTCTATTACCAGTTGCTCATTTTCTAAGCCATCTTTCATGGCTTATGACTGACTTCTTTGATAATTTTTGTTGGTGATGTATCTGCTTTGTGATTGCATCCCACCCTGTAACTCTTTGATGCTGTCACTCTACCYAACCTGTGCTTATACCATTCTTGGCAAGCAGATTGTTGTCTTGTTTGAGACTCTATCTTAACAATTTCCTCTTCAGTTTTGAAAAGATTTCTCTTTACTCTCTCACACCTATTGTTTATTTCAGAAAGAGATAATGGATGTTCTTTCACTGGTGATATTATCTGAGTAACAGATGCTTCATGATGCCTCAAGTCCTCCCTTCTCTCGACCACATTACTAGGTTCATTTTCACAGCTTGACACAGAAGTTGAAGAGGTCTGAGAGGTATCACTGACGGCCCTAGGCTGAATGTTTGTTCCAAACTCTTTAAGTTATACATGAAGTACGGAGCCCTTGGCAACTTCTCCCATTATTGTGTCAATTATTACAATATCATTCACATCAGGAATCATCTTTGAAAATGGAACAGACGGGATCACTTTTTTGTAAATTTTGTTTTAACATTCCGACAGATTCTACGTCTAATTTACGCAATTTTTATGGCCTTGGGTCAGAAAGTGTGGGGTACACGCCCCTACGTTTTCTTCGTGAGGTATCTGATGCATGTGGGGTTTTGAAAAGTTTCTGCGACATCACAGGATTATGTTGCACAGCCCTTTTCCCCGAAATTCCCCATTTTCTAGGTTTGGAGGTACAGCTGCGGTTGTCAACTTGTTCAACTGTATTTTTCCTAGAT